GGCGTCTTGGAGCCCTCGTGGGGCGTTTTGGAAGCCTCTTGGGGCCTCCTGGGCGCTTCTTAGGGCGTCTAGGCGGTCTTTTGGGGTGTCTGGGGGCCTCTTGGAACGTGCGGGGGGCCTCTTGGGGTCTTTTTGGCCCGTATTTGGGCCTTTTTGGGCCCGGAAGAGCGTCGTGAGTCGCTCGTGGTGGGCACCCCCCACCCCCTCCAAATCGACCGGACCGGGTTCCCCGGGGAGGGGTTTGGGGAGGGGGAAGCATTTCACACGCCGATGACCCAGGGGGTCGGCGGATTTGGATGACCCGCCCCGGTAACCAACATGATGTGCGGGCTCCATAAGGAGAGGTTTCCTGCTTAAGACTTCCTCGCGTTCCACTCAAAAGCGAGGCTCCTTTTTTGTCGACTATCATGGTGGGATCGTGATGCTGACGACGATGTTGGTGTGTGCTGCTGATGGCCGGTAATCATGCTAGGATCACGACATGATGACGATTGAGTGGTGAGCGAATGTGGGTGAGTGGCAGGATGAGTGGATGACGATGTGGTTTGATGATGTTGATGGGATGGTGGTAGTGATGGTGATGGTGAGTGGGATGATGATGGGTGGTGGTGATGATGGCGACGATGATGACAGGAGGAGTGGGTGTGAAGAGGACAGGGTGGGTGCGGGGACTGCGCGAGGTGTCCTGAGAAAACAAGAACCCCACTTAGGATGAAGGGAGAAGCACAAGGGATTCTCAACACTGTACTATCAAGCCTTCGAAATCAAAAGGGTTTCCATGATTTTGAGCCCGATTATTCGAACATTGCCGTTTCGTTTGAGACATCCTCCAATCACCAGGTCCCGTGCCAGCACCATTCTTACACAGACATGCAAAATCCGCGCTGCTTGAGACAGCGTCCACAAATGGAGCTCCCGCGTGCAACACACGCGCACACACACACACACACACGCACGCGCAGAATGCACACAGAACACACACACACACATTGACCACACCGCACAAAGCACACAGACCACACACACACACATACTCAAAACGCCTACAACACACTGGGCACACACACACACACACCGAGGGCACACACACACACTCACACAACGCACGCATGACACACGAAACACCTGACACAAGCACCACACCCAACTTGCGCACACACAACATGCCTAACACATAAGTTCAGATATACTTATAGATATATATACACATCGGATGCAGACCACACGTGCTCCACGCATAACTCACACATATCACACAGCGGGCACCACACACACGCAGCCACAACACACATAACACACACACACACACCTTGTCCACCACACACACGACTAGCACATGTGTTTGTATGAGCCTGGGCACGCACGTGCCACTTGTACAGGTGGCACGTGCGTGCCCAGTCCCATACAAAAAGAACTGCTTCACGCAAGCATCCCAGGATCCGAGGAGGAGGAAGAAGGATATGGAAAAGAAGTGAAATCATGAGAGAAGGAGGGTACTGAGGATCACCAGATGGCTGTTGGGAAGGAGATGCAACAGCAGGACCGCAGTCGAACGCAGGTGGGGTTGCCACGCCTTGCGATGTGTGTGGCGCGGGAGGGTGTTCTACACCTCGCGGTCGCATTTGAAAAGAAGCTCCGAAATCAATGTTTGGTGGATGTCTCTAGCGAGCCTTTCGTTCTGAAGAACCGGAGGGCAACTTTGAATACGCAAGGTTCTCATTGTGGGTAGTTTGTCTCACGAGAGACGGTCGATGTTTTATAGTATTGACGTCTATCATCATGATTGTGTTTGAAGGTTGTATGGCAACTTGTTGACATTGTGTCTGTTGGACCGTGGCGTCACGGTCTGCGTCAGGGGCGCGATCGATCCTCATAATGTTGTGGATGTCCCGAGCGAAGCGGCCAATTTCAATAGCGAACGGGACTTTCAATGAGTCGTTTGTGAGCTCTATTCTGTCGGACATGTGCGTTTTGTAATCAAATAAAAAACGGAAAAAAACATAGGCAGAGAGAGAGAGAGAAAGAGAAACACGTGCGAATGGACAAATGGACACATCTTCACATACACAGAGAGAGAGAGAGAGAAAGAGAGAGAGAGATAGAAATAATGAGAGAGAGAGAGAGAGAGCGAGAAACAGAGGGAGAACAGACCGTGATGCTTCGAGAGAGGCAGAGGGGGATATGGTAAGGTGGGGACAGAGGCAGGGAGGGACGGATGGAGAGAGAACGATCGATATTGGAGAGCGAGCGAGAAGAGTAGAGCAACCTTTGTAGAGACTTAAATATTTAGTAGCAAACAGGGAAACACGAGAGAGAGAGAGAGATATGGCGAGATAGAGAGAAAGAAAGGGAGAGATGGAAGGAGAGGGGATACACACATGCATATATATATATATATATGTACACATGTCTAGAATTCCATCCGTATACATGTAAAGAGAAAGAGAGAGAGGGATGGTTAAACGTGCCGGCAGAGGTGAGACTTCGGACGCTGTAGAGCATTGAGAGGGATGGCCCAGTTCTAAGCACGGCAAGCAGCGACGACGCGGACTATTATGTGGACGCCATCGTGATTGGTCTTTTTGGTGTGAAGTGGGGAGTTCGGGTATTGCGAGAGCCCACTCAGACAAGCCGAGTGAGCGAATCCTCACTGGTTCATCGACATTGGCATAGTGTACCAGTGCAGTTCCCATTCGGTTTGGCGAATCGACGTGCGTTTCGTTAGATCTGTTCCGTCGTTTTTGGACGTTGATCAGAAATCCCGCTTGGGTACACACGAAACGCGGTGCCGTGTGCACGTGGAGTGCCCTTGGCAGCTTTGACTGAAGTTGTTTGGTTAAAGAGTGTTCTGTCAATCTTTCAGGTGTGCGATGGATGGTGCAAAAGCGTGCCTGCCCCGAGCTGAGCCACCGATGCTGCGCTTGCGCCGTTTGAGAATTGCTTGCGGCGTGCATTGCCTTGCCCTCTCTCGCGGTATGAGCACCAGTGGTTATACCTTTGTTTCGAAGCTTGGGGCAGGAGGTGGGCTCTACCTCTCCTTCAACGTTGATCGTGGCATGGGAGGTGCTTGCAGGTTGGTTCTGCGCGACTGCCTGGCTGATAAAGAGGGGTCCCGCCCTTGGCACGAGAGCCTCTCGTGCGGCTACTTCGGGGTCAAAGCCTCTACGGTGAATTTCGAGGTGGTATATAACAGGCATTACGGGAGTCGTTTTTGGGAGTTCATTTGTTGGCGAATGCGTGTGGCTTGTTCGGGCCGCACGCTCGTCTTCAAGGTGGGGCTCTGGCGCCAGGCAGGGCTGGGATCCGAGACAGGAGCGGTCGGAGGCTGCTGGGGGATCCCGGAGACGGGCCTTGGGCTTGCCCAGTTTTCTGTGCATAGCGGCCCGGCATTTCAATTAGTTTTGGCGGCATTTGGGCATTGCGCAATGGGGGGCCATACCTTGGGGGGCAGCGAGGGCTGCAGAAAAAGGTGCCCTTTTCAGGCCCCCCAAAGATACCCTTTAGGGCCACAAAGGGGCGTCTAGGGCCCGCAAAGGGCACCTTTCTCCACCCCCCCACTATCGCCCCCCATAGGTGTGTTGTCCTTTCAGAGGACGGCGTGCCCGGGTCCAGGCCCTTCGGGCGTTTTCGGGAGGTCTCTGCGTGTAGAAGTAAGCACCTACGCGCCCACAGGCTGTGGATGAGGAGGTAGAGGAAAGCAAGTTGGCAGGGATTAGGTAAGATGATATACATCCAATGGGGATATGTTTGACAGAGTTGTACGCTATTTAAGCTAGCACCCAAATGCTTGCAGGCCTTGAGTGGAGGCCGAGAAGGGAAAGACTGGAGGTACCCAAAAGGACCAGACGATGCTGAGGAAAGTCAAGATCGTGCTCGGAAGGAACGCGGTTTTTCGGGTCAACCAAAAGACTATGGAGGTTACACTGGCAGGTAAGGCGCTGGCAGTCGCCAAATACGGCGGGAACTGGCCGGCAGCTGAACAAGAAATGCAGGCGTCGATCGCGAGGTCGAGCCAGAATTCCATAGCAGGAGAAGGCCCACACCTGCGGGCCATCATTCGCAGTTACCGGCCCAGCGCCAGGTGACATCTGGTTTCGACCGCCTTCATAGCCGCTTGGCGCGCTCCACGATGACCAGAGGCGTGCCACGCTCGGGACTTGAAGGGGCGCGGAGGCATGCTCTGGCTGGATCCTGCAGAGCTGGGATTGGAGTCGCCACGAAACGCTCAGCCTGCGCAAGGGCAGCGAGTACTGCTCGGAATGCGAAAGTCGCCTCGAGCCTCGAGCTCGTGCTCATGGAGGGCTGGCGCGCGAACCTCTTGTTGGAGGCGGCGGGAGCATAGCCGCACAGACTGGTATCTGTGCCGGCCTGGGCAGTACGACGAGCGACGCTGCACGGCTGCCAGGCTCTCGGCAGATGCAGCATGCACGCGGCCAGCGTGATGCCAGGGGCCTTCGTCTCGCCTGCGCACCTGCAGGCGTCCGGCGACAGAGAGGAAGGCAGGCAGGAGGGCCACGCGCCTTGGCGCGCTGCAGTGGAGGAGCTGCGGTGCGAACGCTGCGGATTGGACGAGGCGCAAGACTTCGAGCACGTGCCGTGGCGCTGCGAGGTGGCCAGCAGGCCAAATGGTCGACCTCGGGATGCCTTTCAGCGGCACCTCCTCTGGCCGACCGGCTTGAAGCGTAGAAAGGAGGATTCGATGCCGGCCTGCTTGTGTGGGCCGGCGCCACCATGGAGGCGATCTTCGAGGTGCGCTACAAGGAGGAGGCCGCCCGAGGGCGCGGGCATCACGCACCCAGGGAAGTGGGGCAGGAAAAGGAGGTAGAGAAGGTGAGGGCACAGAGGAAGAGCAGGAAAGCATACATGAATTGATGAGTAGGTAGAGGTAGAGAGGAACATCTAGCAGGGAGAAGGATCGGGGAAGACAGTCAGGCAATACACATAATATTTGTGTTGGTGCGAAGATGTAGTGTACATGATTCAAGCTTGTGTGCCCACAGGCCCTGGACAAAGCCACCGCGATCCGGGAGAAAGAGCTGGCTACGTTCAACGAGGAGAGCCGCGGCGGTGGACTCTTCGTGGCACGTGGTTTCTGAAAGTATTGTCGTTTGTTTGTGTCGATGCGGGAGTGAATTGTCAGCCTTCTTCAGTGTGGGCGATCCATGTCGGCACGGTTTGTTTTCTGACGGAGCGGGGCTCGTTGAACAGTGGGGCTTCTGAGGATGACGTAGAGCCCCCGACGCGTTCCAGGCGTGTGGTGTCACGGGGAGGTTGTGGGAACGAAGCTTCGGGAGGGGCTCGGCGGGACAAGTGTCTCCAGGGGATGCTCGGAGAGGGCTCTCGAGTCCCGCAGTGTTGTTTTCAGGCGTTGGGTCGACATGGCATTTCGGCAACGAGTTTCCCTACCATGCCCATCTGCTGTTGCCTCCATATATCCGTAAGGGCTTCGCCCCCTGCCGCCGGCCCCCTCGCCATGGAAGAGCGAAGTCATGAGGCTTTGGCTTCGCCGTGAAGCAGTGTCGGGACCTGTTTGTTTTTTGGCCCTGACCCTACGGATCTGCGTGAGGGGTGCCGCCGAATTTCAGAAATGTGGCAATTCCCTCATGGTTTTGGACCCCACAAGGGGGCCGGCGGATTATATAAGATTTTCCGCCTTGTGTTGTTCGCCGACCTTCTCAAGCATCCCAGGCGCCTGGGTTTGAATAAATCCTACACCTCCTGGGGCTGCAACCCGGCCGACCGAAGCCCAATAGATTCACACATGTATGCATGTTTAGCGTTTCTACGTTATTATTGTGACCGACGTGTAAGTTTCTGAGCCAGGCCCGCTGGGCCTGGACACCTGTGTCTGGGATGCAGGATGGCCTGGGTAACATCCGTGCGTGCATACGCTACCCATGTCCAGGCCAGGCCAATTCGCCCCGATCCAGGGCACAGGATGGCTTGGACAAGGTCGTCCCGTACAAGCGGCGTTTTGCGCACAGCTTGGCCTGACCAGGCGACAATATTGCGATCATATTTCTGATCACTGCCCATCGCCAACGACCAGCGCGAGCGTATGGCCTCCCACGGCTATAAGAGGCCATTGCTTTATTGCTTGGGGCATGACGGGCGTCATGGCCCCCGCCCCCCCCCCCCCCCCCAATATGACGCAACGCTCCCCCCCCCAGTGCGCTCCGGGCACTGCCGCCGTGCGCATTGGGATCCGCGTAGGTGTCCGCGTAGGAATCCGCATAGGTGTCTGGTCCGCAGGCGTCGTCGTCGTCGTCGTCGTCGTCGTGCGCGCGGACGCGGCTGGAGCCTGTTTTCAAGTCCGCGCCGATGACGGCAATCATCTGGGGGGGAGGGGGTCGATGACGTCACGTTTCGCGCCGGCGGCGTTTGGGAATGGTTAGGAATGGCGGAGGACGGGTAGCACGAACATGTAGGTGGCGATATGCACCACAACGCTTGTGTACATCACAGTGCCCGCGTGCACCACAGCGCCTGTGTACACCACGCCGCCGATGTACACCACAGCAGCCGCGTGCAACACTGCGTCAGTTTGTGCCACCGTGCCTGCGGGCACAGCAGCCCCTGTGTACACCACGGCGCCTCCGTGCACTACATCAGCCGTGCGCAGCACAGCACCAGTGTACACCACAATGCCTGCGTGCATTGCAGTGCCTGTGTACGCCACGACGCCTGTGTGCACCACATCAGCCGTGTGCAACACAGCACCATGGTTGTGTATAGAATTTCAGAAGTACTCCTTGTGACAAAATGGAGCGCCTGTGGATTCCAGAGAAAACAATGGAAAACGAATCCTCATGGACGAAGGAACGCCGCTGAAATCTACGAGTCCCCCCGAGTCCGCCCGCATCACCCTAACTCCCACTTGCGTCCAGGAGGCTCCAGCTAAACGGGCTGTCCGAAAACCAAGTGGACCGATTCAATGGACCATTGTGCGGTGCACGCTGAGATGCGAACGTGCGTTGTAACGCCAAGCCGCGTGACGGGGGGTAAGAAGGAGGAGAAGGAGGACGAGGAGGAGGAAGAGGAGGAGGAGGAGGTGGAGGAGGAGGGAGGAGGGAAAAACGCCGCATTCGATTATCAGAACTTTCCCGGCGTGGCGTTTATGTGTCCGCGTCATATCCTGACGTACATGCTCCTTCTACCTGTCCTATACACGCAGGCGCTGTGGTGTACACCGACGCTGCATTGCACGCGGATGCTGTGGTGTAGACAGGCGCCGTGACGTGCACAGGCGCTGCGGTGCACGCAAGCACTGTGGTGTACACAGGCGTTGTGTTGCTCACGGTTGCTGCGGTGTATGTACACCGGCGATGTAGTGTTCCCAAGTATTGTGGTATACACGGGCGGTGCGTTGCACACGGCTGTTGCGGTGTACGCAGGCGCTGTGGTGCACACGCGCGGCACGCGAGCGTTGTGGTGTACAGTGTACACAGGCGCAATGGGCAGATCGCCACTTACATGCTGCTCGCGTCGTCGTCGTCGCTCGTCGCTCGTCGCTCGTCGCGTCGTGCGCGCGGCCCCGGCTGTGGTGCCCGAGCCACACGGCGGGGGGGGGGCGTCACGTCATACCTCCCCCCCGCCCTCCCCCCCCCATGAAGCCCGTCATCGCCGAACATAAAGAAACGCCTTCCAACGATCCATCGCCACCCGTGCACATATATATATATATATATATATACACATATATATACACACATATATATATATATATATATATGTGTATTGGTTGAGTGAGTTTGACCTGGCCATGTTAGTAAGATTGGTGTATGTGCGTGGTTGGTGCCCCTGTGCCAGCGGCCGTTCCCCCATGGGGATGGGAAGAGGAGGCCTTCAAGCCCCAGGACGTGCAGAACCAGCGACCGCGCTTCTCGTCAAAATCCCCCCGTCGTCCGCCTCCACGTCTCCTCCACCTCCTGCTGCTCCTCCTTGTTCCGTTCGGATTGTCCCCCCACATTCCCACCCCCTCGCCTTTGCCTCTTACTTCGGTGCCCTCCTTTTCCTCCCGTCTTCTGATGCAGTCAGGCACGCTGCCGCAGTGGTGCAGTTCTTCTGGCCCGCCCTAGGCGGTCGGCACCCCTCAGGGGGGCCGTCTTCAGACGGGCAACGGGCCAGCATATGCCTGTTCCCCCCTCCCTGCCTGCTCCCCTGCGCGTCCTCTGGCAGCACGTCCTCCTCGTGATCGTCTTTGCCACCGTCGTCTCTGTTTCTCCTCGTCGTCCTGCTCTTCTCTCTCGTCGTCGTCCTCCTTGTCCTCCTCGTCTCCTCCTCATCGTCATCCCCGTTTTTGTTTCTCCTCCTCGTCGTCTTCCTCTTCCCCGTCGTCATCCTTATCGGTATCCTCCTCGTTTTCGCCGTCGTCCTCGCCCCACGCCTGCTCTCCTCCCTTCTGCCTGGGAGGAGACGGAGGCGTTGCAGGCGGTGCTGGCTCTTGATTCATCCTCCATGTCCCCTCCCGCCTAGTGCCCCCCCCCTCCTTCTCCTCCTCATCCTCCTTCCTCCTCATCCTCCTCCTTCCTCCTCCTCATCCTTCTCCTCATCCTCCTCATCCTCCTCATCTTGCTCCTCCTCGTCCTTCCCGCCTAGTGCCCCTCCTGCGCATCCTGCCACACGGGCGCATCCGACGGACTTCGTCCACTACCAAGCTGGCAGATGTCACGACAACCGTCCCAATGCGTATTACTTCGGACAGTTTTTTGTCGGGCTCACGCGGTGCTCGCACTCGACACCCTCTGTCAGCTTTCGCGTGCTGGTCATCCTCGCTGGCCAGTCTTCCCGCCAGTGTCAGCGCCATGTTGTTGGGTGTCTGCTTGGGCCGCCGGGGCGTCGGCTGTTCCTCGTTTGATCTGGCCCTCCTCCGCGCCTTCCCCCCCACGTCGCCCGCCAGCGTCGCAACGGGTAACTGCGTCCCGCGCCTCGCGGTCCAGGCCGACGAACCGTCTTTGTCGACGGGGGCGACGTGAGAGTGCGAAGGCGGCCCTGCTTTGCATAGCCCGGGTGCGTCCTCTGTCCTCGCTCCCCCACGCCAGGAGGAGAAGGAGATGCTGCATGCGGTGTCCGCCCTCAAGCAGGCCATCACGGTACTGTCCAAACACCACAGCGGTGCCTTCCTGCAGGCGCCCGGCAGATCGCCGAGACATGGCACGGGTCGAGTCCACATCGCAATATCGTCTCGTTGTTTCTCCGCCTCGTTCCCCCGCCATTTCTCCCCAACCTCCCGTGCCTGTTCCTCGTCTTCGCCGCTGGGACCGTCACCAGCCTTCTTCTCGTCATACTTCCTCGTTGTAAAGGGCCGCATCATCGTATCTGACCTCGTCCGTATATTTTCTCCTTCTGTGTCCCTCATTATCCTCACATTCCCTCGTTCTCGTCCTCGTCATGTTCTCCTTGCGGTCGTCCTGCGTACTTTTTCTCTTCCTCCCCATCCTGCTCCGTCCCGCTTGTGGCAGTTCATGCGACTGCAGCTGCAGAGTCGGGTGTCATTTTTTCGCACATTGTCCTTTTCACCATTCTCGCCGAGGGCGCTCCAGTGCTCGCAAAATTCCTATTCGCAAGCGTCCGAAACAAAACAAACAGAAACATAGGGCCCGGTGCAAATGGATCGTAATTCCCCCGTGCAGGCCCAGGCCATTTGCGAGCAGTTTCTTTGCGAGTGGTGGAACGCGTTTGTTTGCCCTCGTGTTCCTCATATTGCACGTTGCGCGACGCACCCAGTTTAGAGCGCTCCCTTCCTGTGGCTCCCCAGCTCGCGCCAGCGCGTCTGTAAACAGCAGGCAGCGCCCGATCAACACCGCATGCCTCGCGAGCGCCGCGGCGCCTTTGAACACCTCCGTGCCAGACCTCCAACGTCGCAAGGCACTACAAGCGACCGCCTTTCGTTTTCTTACAAGTCTTTCTTTTCTCTTGAAAAATATTCGGGCCGCAGGATCCCAAACCATGTTCCAGGATCGAACGCATGTCCTTCGAAGGCATTTTCGAATGTATCCGGGTCTTCTTAGGGGAAGCCGGGTGTCTGTGGAGGCCGAGGCCAGGCCATGTTGGTGGCCTTGGTTCCTCCTGTCGGCCGTCTTGAACTCTTCAGAGAGCTTTAGTCGTTTGCGTTAGTTCGCGCCTGCGTTCTTTAATTTTGCATCCGCCCGCCGCTGCGGATGTGCGGCTCATGCCCTCTGATACAACTACACGAATTGACGGTGCGTATCGTGCGCGTTGTAGCTGGAAGAGGGAGCGCGCGCTGCGTCTGGATCAACACGAATAGACAGGTTCTGCAGAAGGCCCTCCCGAAGGGACCTTCTGAAGCTCGGCGAAGGTAGAGAATATGCATCTCATTTGTCAGGTTGGGTTGCGGATGACCTCTTCTAACATCAGACCACCCCAAAAAACAGGCGGTCAGCCGAAACACAAGCAGGGTGATGTCCTATGCGTTGACCGAGATGACAGCTTCCATCGCAGCCGCAATGCAGCTGGCAGAGGGAGCGCGATGCTGGACGGGAGTCCGACCGACCTTGCGACAGGCGATTTATGGTGAGCATCGTCAGAATTCCAAGCCCCGGACGGAAAGCAGCGGCTCAAGCTTAAATTAGAGCGAGTGAGGATTCCCGCGACAACGTTATCAGGGGTCGCGGGCCTTGTCTGTTCCCCGATCAGCGCCAGGGGCGCCGAGCAATCGCAGGACCGAGAGGACTTCGTTTCAAGCGCAAGAAGTGGAGCGTGCGAGGGCGCCCCCTAGAGAGGACTGGGCTAACCGACCCAGACGCGCGCGCCGCTGCAGATGGGGCCGACTTCCCAGAGGAAGGCCCGGCAGGGACTCGCAATTTTATTTTGCGCGTCGAACAGATTCGAGGCGCGGCGAGATTGCCACGTGCGATAACAACGGACACCCGCCTCGCACGAGAGAAGATGATGACGCCGAGATAAATCGGCGGGTTTTTGTCCAATGCTGCGACGATCGGCCTGCGATTGATGACTTCGACCCCTCGCGCGTTCGGGCCCCAACTGGCGCCGATGAATCCATGGGGGCAGCGAATAGACATCAAGGGGCTATTCCAGACGCCCCACAGCGCGCGCTTGCCAATCCAAGCGATCTTGGTCAGCTTTCCGCCATCTTCGGCGCGGCGGCGGCGGCGGCGGGGGCGGGGGGGGGGGGCAGCGATTCGAAGGGGGGCATTCGATTTCCGAGGGGATGGCTAGACTGGAAGGCTTTCGAGCGCGGCTAAGAGGCATCGCCCTGCGCCTTCGCAGCCTCCAGAGTTCGAAGACACTCAGCCGTCGATCGAGCGCGGCCGTCGCGGAAGGCCCGCCCAGCCAGGGCGCCTGACAGCGCCCCCGGCTAGACTTGTCAGACAGTTGCGGCTGAAACGGGATGCGCTAAGGATTTCGCGGTTGGGCTCGGACAAGGCCCTGCCGATTCGAAGCAGGAGCGGCCGTTGCAACGCGCGTCGCACCGCATAGAGGCCCAGCGGGTTCGCCAGGTCGCGCGCGCCGACTGCTGGCGCGATTTCGCCCAAGAACGCGCGCGCGCCCTGGCGCGGGGGCGCGGGCGAGTCTCGATTCCTAGGCAAATTTTTGTCCGTCGTTGCGCGCCGGGCCCCCGCGTTCAGAATGCTCTGGCGCCTGTCAGGGCGTCCGCGTGGCTCTCCTGCGAAGCGGGCGCGCAGCCCCGACCAGACGTCACTGCGTCGCATTGCGAAGCGCAGAATGGCAGGCAGCCCAGCAGAGGGGGGCCTCGGCGACAAGCATGAGATCACAAGAAAGGAAAGTTAGCTTCATGCGCGACAGCTGGAGGCATCTCACGCCGGCGCGGCTGGGCGGGCCCAGGCGAGGGTCGGTCTCGAGATCGCGCCGGGCAGGGCCGGCGCAGAAGCCGACGGTGCCCGGGCCGACGCAGACAGGGATCGCAAGGCGAGGCGCGCGATTGAAGGCGTTTGCTCGAAGGCGACGCCCCCGCCCGCGCCGGGGGCGCAGCCGAGCGGGCCGCCCGGCCCGCGGTGGCGGCCAGGGCCGCGGCCGAGGAGGCAGTCGCGGTCGAATGCTGCGAGGCTCGCAGCGAAAGCCGGGGCTGAACATATGGCCCAGATTCACGGGGGCGAAATGATTTCAATGGCAGCGGACAGACATGGAAGCAGCGCGGCCGCGAGATGCACCGATCGCCGACTTTCGGACTCGGCTGCACTTCGCGGAATGTGCTGGGCGTTCTAAATGTCGATTGCATTGCGCCTTGCTGGCACGACCGCCGCCGCCGCGCGAGGCGACGATGGGGGTGGGGGCGGCGCCGGCCCATGGCAGTGGCATTTCCCGTTGCCCGCGCGCGCTGGTCCGACGCGCGGGCGAGCGACCCGACGACAGACTCCGTTGCAATGGCCGCTCTTTTCTTGGAGCTGCCGCCGACCCCGCGCGCGGCGGAAGTTCGAGGGGCGCCCGCAGCGGCGCGCCGCCCCGAGGATGCGCGAGAAGAGCGCCGACAGAGAGTTTCGGGGGGGTCGACGACGGGGGCCCGACCAAGAAGCGCGCGTGGCTGCCGGGGGAGGAGGGCGAGCCCGATACGGAGTCGCGAGTGGAAGCCCCGCAGAGGCGTGGACCACGCGACGAGGCGTGAAAGAGCGGGGGAGGCCCCGCGAGGGTTAGCCCCGCGGGGCGGAGGCCAGGGCGGCCATTCAAGAAGAAGAGGTCGCAGATCGAAGCGCAGAGCGCACGAGGAAAACCAACGAGGGGCCGGCTTCGGGGCCAGCCGAGGCAATGAGGGAAACGATGGAATCAATCGTTTCCCCCCCTAAGAGAGGGAAGAGACCCCTTGAATTGAAAAGCGAAGCCGCGGAGGCCGAGGCGCCTGCATTTGCGCGGCCCGAAGCTACTCTGCACGAGGAGTAAGGTAGGGTCGCTTTCGAAGCGTCTGAGGGGGGGGGGGTGGGGCACTGGGCCGGCGAAGACCGGAACGCCCCCGCGGGCCGCGTCGGGGGGCGGGGGGTCTGGCGGAGACCCCAGCTTGCAGAATGTTGATGGCGGCGGACATGATGAAGCATTAGATCTCGATCTGTTCGCGCCGGTGGCTGCGGGCCTGGGGCCTGGGGGCCCACCTCGGGGCGACGGGCTTGGCGGCCGCGGCCCTGGGGGTGGCCCGGGCGGTCCCATTGGAGGTCTTGGTCCTCGCGAAGGATGGCGGTGGGCCGCCGGGAGACGCGCCCCCCCCCCGGGGGACAGCGACGCCGCGCTGCCCGCTTATCGGAGACGGGCCGAGGGCCGGGGGCGCAGAGAAGGCAACAGTAGCCCTTCCAGACGCCCCCAACGCTGCTACTATACCTGAACGGCCCAGGGCCGCATGCCGACTTGTGGCCGCTGCGACATAGGAGACGGACGGACGAAGCGTTGAAGCGGTTCAACCAGGCGTTAGATATCAGGTACTCCGCTATAATTTCCGCTGGCAGAGCCTGGTAGATCCCCGCCCTAGACGTTGCGATCGCGTCTGATTTGCTAAGCTCTAGACTGCCGAAATTTGTGGTTGAGGCGATGAAGCCGTTCTTGGTTGATGTTGACAGACAAGATGATCTGTTCCCGCGAAGAGATTATTCCGTCGTGCAAAGGGGGATCACGTGCGTCATCGTTCAATGCGCATTGGTGAGATATGGTAGGGTCGAGGGAGAAGACCATCAAATCGTAGACTCGCACGTGCTATCGGTGGGCCAGCACGTGCGGCGAGTTGCCAGGCCCAGCGAAGAAATGCGGCCTGCTCTCCGGATTTTCGACGTCGGTGGACACGGTTGCTATTTCAGATCCGAGAATTGAATCGAACATGGCAAGTTGCAAGACTATGAACAAACATGGAACCCTTTCATTGAATACGAAAATCAAGACCATGGTGGATCGTCGACGTCAATGAAAAATGAAACTCGGTGCTGCCCGGTGCTCGTGGGGCGTTTCGGGAAGCCTCTGGGGCACAAGCAATTGGCAGTTTTGTCAGCTTGTACATATTGGCCTTCGTTCCATCCTGCCACCGTCCCAGGGCTTGGGGCACGTTGCCGATTGGGCTTGTGGGAGGCCCCTGGGGGGGCTCCTGGAGGCAGTTTGAGAGCTTCTTGAGTGCCGTTTCTTGAGGCTTCTTTTTGGTTTCTCTGGTTTCCCGGGG